TGAAGCCCAGTTCTGGTGTCCCCCGCCGTAATATTGCTTGAATGATGCTAAAAGAGGAGTAAAACCATACTCACTCACTCACTCATTACTAGGCTTCCTCTCTGATTGTGTCATTTGTACCCAAACGTTAGCTCACTCTCGTTGTCATTTTTATACCTTCGTTAGAAGTCTCTTTCACACTCATACTCACACTCTCGCTTATTGTCTCACATCTCACTCTCACTCTCAAATCTGATTCTCACTTGCATATTTCATTCTGTCTCTCATAATTATTTCAGCATGTGTTTCCACGCCTTTCCACCGGCATTCTATCCACATCTTCATCACTTTCACCCCCCCCCCCCTCCCCCCCATGACCAGCCCCACCCAGACTTCCCCACCCCTTACCCCAACACCATCACAAGCTTCCCACAATCCATAGTTCAAACAATGGCTGCCAAGAGAACCATAAAGAACACAGGCATGTTTTTTCCATTTCACCGTAACATGTAATTAACGCTGGCAGGACGATTAGCGAGAGACTAGCACGCGCGTCAATCATGAAATCAAACTAAAGCCTGGTAATTGGACAAAAAATCGTCAACTTATTATGCCTTTGACAATTATATAATCATAAATAGGATATCGCAATACTTGCTAACGGGTGTTAACACACCTGTACTAGCGTGAGGTCTGTGTGACCGCGCAATTCTGCCCTATGGCACTCGTCAGATGGAGAAAATTCCAATCGTGGGCTGATAAAGACGCCAGCAGTTATAAAACCCCGTCAGTCGTCGGTGGCTTTGATAGCCGAAATGTTACGATTAAGAGGGTCCAGATGGGGCGTGTTGGATGGGCGTTATTTGACGAGGGATCACCTCAATGAACATCCACAGTTCTTTATCTATTTCCACTTTCATCAAATCTCTTACAGTTAGATACGCAGAATTGTTTAACCCACGGCTGGCTGACCTGTCAGTGATTTTGAACTACTGGAAACATGCCACGTGTTACGTTAAGTAGGTGCATAAATCAACACGTTTTACTCACGTAAACAAACAAAAATGAGAACAAAAATAGAACGTGTGGCCGCCGGTTTTAAGTCATTCATGTACATACTGCCCCAGTAATCTTAGGCTTCGCCAGTCACCGTTAGAAGCTGAGCCCGTTAGACGTGCAAGAATCCATAGATCCTGGTTTCGCATCCCAGATTGACCCCAGTTATGATTTTCCGTCTGCCATAAACATAACAGAGCCTTGGCCTTAACCAAAGTGGTGAACTCACTCACTCTCCCACCAGGTCTCCCACTCACACGCTCTCCCACTCACTCACTCACTCTCCCACTCTCCCCTTGGCTCACTCACTCACTCACTCTCACACTCTCCACCTCGCTCACACACACGCTCTCCCACTCGCTCACTCACTCTCACACTCTCCCACCTAGTCACTCACTCACGCTCCCACCTAGTCACTCACTCACTCACACATTCACATTCGTTCACTCACCCACTCGGTGATTATCCCACTCGGTCACTCACTCACTCTCCCAAACACTCACTCACTGACTCTCCCAAACATTCACTCACTCACTCTCCCAAACACTCACTCACTCACTCACTCTCCCAAACACTCACTCTCCCACTCACTCACTCACTCTCCTAAACATTCACTCACTCACTCTCCAAAACACTCACTCACTCACTCTCCCAAACACTCACTCACTCACTCACTCTCCTAAACATTCACTCACTCACTCTCCCACTCACTCACTCACTCTCCCACCTAGTCACTCACTCACTCACTCTCCCAAACACTCACTCACTCACTCTCCCACTCACTCACTCACTCACTTTCCCAAACACTCACTCACTCACTCTCCCAAACATTCACTCACTCACTCACTCACTCACTCACTCACTCTCCCAAACACTTACTCACTGACTACAGTTGGCGCAGTTCGCGCGCCACACGCTGTATCCCGCCAACACAAACCTACCACGCGGACGCCAGTCTCCACTCTCCATCAATCGGGTGAACGGACCCTCCTCTGGAGCCTCATCCTATATCGATTTCGGGTGGAATTATTATATGGTCTCAATAGAACTGGAGCCATTTCATGCGCTCCAAAATCACTTGCTTGGATCCACAACTTGGATGGAATTAATGGAGAGTGATTTGCTTTATCAAAGTTCATAAACGTGGGTGATAAAAGACGCCATTATGAAACGGAGCGTCCAAACCAGACCGAAACGGCGATAGTCACAACCTGGAGTACATACAGATTTCAAAGTCGACGATTCAAAATGTCTTGTTTATATTTATCTTGGCTTTCGATTATACATCAACGACAGGATAGAGTGATGCATATGACCTAACTGACCTCTATTCTAGATTTTTCTTGGTTCACGCCAACTGGGTCCGGGGCGGTGACCTGGTTATGGCGCATGGATACCTGGATGACTGACGTCGACAGTTGCAGGTTAAACACATTTTACAACCAAACTCTCATGTACCATATTAATGTAATTAGTTAAACATTCTATTTATTTTATTCAAACTCTGAAGATTTTAGAAGAACTTTCCAATTTAAATACCAAATTACACCTGAAAACAACTACATATAATTAGACACATGCCTAACATTGTTGATTCATTTTTATATGATCCGGAATTTGTACCCCCATATTAAGAGTTTAATACACGTCCTTATATGAAGAATATGTACGTTTTCCAACTGAAATATTTAATTGATTTATCAAACAGCAAAATGCATTGTCTCTTTACAATTATGTTTCTGGATCAAGTGACCCATTTCAAAAGAAATTATTATCGAAACTATTTGACAGGTGACGTTAGGAATATATCAGCACCGATTCTATTGTACCTCACGCGTTCGCTGCAATCATTATTCTGAAATAAGAAAATTGATAAAAGATCGAATTCTCCTTTCAACAAGTGCCTTAAGGTCAAAGTGATATTAGTGGTCGACTATGCCTATATTTGACATACGTAAAACTCATTTATCATCCTAATATATATAAACTAATTGTATTTTGATGACAACTCTTCGACAAATACACAACCTTCGTTAATCCGGACGGTGTTGTTCGGATTAATAAAGTCGGGATGCCCTATATAACGCATGGTGGTGTTGATTACAGTAATACTAAATGAAGAGGGTCTCAGACACACGGGTCCGGTTTAGCGGGGTGTCACTGTACGTGGATACCCATGGCCCAAATGTAGTCACGTCCTGATAATCATAAACTCCAGAGCGTCTAACCAGAGACAAATGCCGATATCGGTAGATGGCCCCTGGTCTAACCGTATAGCTGTGATTGCATATGGCCCTGTGAACCGACAGTCTTTTGTCAGTGTAACTATAGTCGAGCATATAGAAAAGTCATTACCCGTGGCACAGTTTACTATAACAGCATTGGAACGTCTCCCAGGGGTTTTATGGCTGAGGAAACAATCGGGTGTTTCAAAGAACGCCTTTTCTCTTTCCGTGTTATGTTTTTTACTGTCATGGGAGACATTTGGTCTTGACTTTGTTGAATACGAGAAAACGGGGAAATGGTTATCAAATGTTCGTACTATGTTTCAAGCATGTAATCCTGAACATGATCCGGGCAAATGTTAGTCCACGACAATGAAAGTAATTCGAGATTTTCAAATCATGCAGTTTAGGGTTTAAGGTTGTATTATGACGCCGGCACGTACTGTTGTGATTCTTGGCCCCTCCGTTCTCGTGTTTAGTCTTGTCTGTACACAATGTGTTTATTTGTGTGTGATGTGTTGCATGGAGGAATGACTGTGATTTCGTTGAGAATGAATTTTAACTTGCAGATAAAGTTAAGATAATTGTTAAAAATGTCACACAATATTAACTGATATCAAAATAGTGATTAATGCGTGATTATGAAATATTAATTAAGGGGTAAATGAATACGTCATTTGTATGAAAGTTCGTATTAAAGACTATATACAGTAAACTACGGTTATAACGAACTTAAAGGGACTACTAATTTTAGTTCGTTATAACCGTAGTTCGTTATAAGCATATATACAGCATAACTACAGCAAAAAGTCGGTACCAAAAAGGTAAGTTCGTTATATCCATCAGTTCGTTATAAACGTGTTCGCTATAACCGTAGTTTACTGTATCTCAATATAATAACATGATTCTTATTCATGTCATACAAGCACTAAGATGTATGAGCGACTATACACACTGTTTTAGCATGGGAAAATTATACATATTTGTGATATACTTTCAGATGACTCACAGGACAATAATGCTTTCTCACAACTGCTCAACACTTTATGAGAATAATTGATAAATTAATAACTATAAAAATAGTAAAACTAATGTTGTCTTCACAATATATAAATACCTTAACTTAAGCGGAAATCCATGTTGTGCAATTAGCATTAGGAAAGCGACATATACAGTAATCCCCAGTGGGTTTATGGGGTACTGGACCAAAACTATCACGGTAAACATCATTGAGAGCAGTAGGATGAATATGTCTCCTTTTACTGGGAGTTCACGAGCATGGGGGAACGACACGCCGGCTCAACTGTGGCAGTGTGATTGTGTACACAGTGATAGTTAGGAGATAGCACCAACCGGACCCCCCGCAGAGCCTGGTTGAGTCACCCAGTTTCTCAATCAGTGCCGCGACATGGCCGAGTCTTTATCAGAAGGCAAACAATAGATTCAGAGACGAAGTTCAACAAAATATCCAGACCAGGGTGTAAACGGATGTTAATACCGCAGCTACAGTGAAACACATTTGCACAAAACCAACGAGAGAGCTTTCTAGTGATAAGCCTGCATACCTATAACTCGGCTCATCTTAATGTGTACACTCTCACACCTCTGTTTAAATAAATAATATATTTACACCTGTATCATTTATAATGATTATAATGATAATATATATCCGTCTTCTATAAGTTCAGTTTAGAATATAAGACCTTATTTGGTGAATCAAATGTATATTTTTTTACTTACCAGTAAATGTGGAACTTGTAAATATCCGAACAATCTTGGAACTAAGAGCTGGTAAATCATCCAAACATCCAATGAGGACTCGATCCTTTTTCTCTTGTATTTCGTCGGGGATTTCAGAGAGAGGTGTACCCTCGGGTAAGTCGTGCTGGTCCGCCATGGTGTTCAATCAACTTGTCTCCGTTTTCAAGTTCACTTTACCGTCTTGTTATACATCGTCATCCCATTTTAAGAAAAAAAACTCCAAAGCTTCAAAATACAGCAATTTCTTCCCGGCGTTACACAGACCGCATAGCTCCTTCTCGACGTCAAGTGACCGACTCGCGATAACTAGTAGGATCGGTAGCGACCCTCCCGCCTCAGCAATGGGGCGATTATCCGATTAGAGCATTAACGTAAGATTGTTAGAGGTAGTCAGTGCTAAGAGTCAGTGAAACAATAGGGTTTAAGGAACAAGGCGTTAAGAGGAGGTGTAAACGGTAGCTGTGCACAGCCGTCTGCAGACGTTCCCTCCGTTAGAACGCTTGGACGTAATGCAAAACCAGCCTTGTTAATTAACCAAACTACCCGGTCGCGTTTAACGGACCCCGTTGCTCACTTGCATTTAGCCCTGTTTGCGATTTCGCTTCTCCTATAACGTTGCCCGTGTGTATAATTATGACAAATCAATATCGTGGTTGTTATACCAACACAATTAACATTCGTCGCCAAAACGGTTCAATCCCTGAGCGGGTGTTGGGACATTAAGGAATCACATGGATATGTCCCTGTGGTGCTACGCTCGCTGGGCAGTGGGCTGGTTATAAACGGGGGAATATTTAAATTGATGCTGATGTGAGTGTGGCGAGGATGTTATAAGGCATTTAATTACACCTGCATCCATAATAAACACATCAACAGTAATAAGCAGTATTGATAAGTGTAACCACAGCTGTAAATCCCTTTTTGATTGGAATACCACCACCTTTCTTCTGTAAATCTAGGATTTGGTGTTGGTGTTGGTGAGGAGGAGATGTGGGCGTGGATTTGAGGATGGCGTGGGCGTGGATGTAAGTGTGGGTGCGGGTGGGTGTGGGGTTGTGGATGTAAGTGTACTGGTGGGTGCGGATTTAGGTGAGGGGTTGGGTGTACATTTCGTTGTGGTTTTAATTTGGGTGAAGTTGTGTGTTTGGGTGAGGGAGTGTATTTAGGCGTGGGTTGGTGTATGGATTTGGGTGATGGTGTGTGTTTATGTGTGGATTTGGGTGAGGTTGTTGTAGCGTAAACGTATGTGTTTAGATGTGTGACTTTGGGTGAGGTTGTTGTAGCGTGAACGTGTGTGTTTAGATGTGTGACTTTGGGTGAGGTTGTTGTAGCGTGAACGTGTGTGTTTAGATGTGTGACTTTGGGTGAGGTTGTTGTAGCGTGAACGTGTGTGTTTAGATGTGTTACTTTGGGTGAGGTTGTTGTAGCGTGAACGTGTGTGTTAAGATGTGTGACTTTGGGTGAGGTTGGTGTTTGGGTGAAGTTGTTGTAGCGTGAACGTATGTGTTTAGATGTGTGACTTTGGGTGAGGTTGGTGTTTGGGCGAGGTTATTGTAGCGTGAATGTGTGTTTAGATGTGTGACTTTGGGTGAGGTTGTTGTAGCGTGAACGTATGTGTTTAGATGTGTGACTTTGAGTGAGGTTGTTGTAGCGTGAACGTGTGTGTTTAGATGTGTGACTTTGGGTGAGGTTGTTGTAGCGTGAACGTGTGTGTTTAGATGTGTGACTTTGAGCGAGGCTGTTGTAGCGTGAACGTGTGTGTTTAGATGTGTGACTTTGGGTGAGGTTGTTGTAGCGTGAACGTGTGTGTTTATGTGTGACTTTGGGTGAGATTGTTGTAGCGTGAACGTGTGTGTTTAGATGTGTGACTTTGGGTGAGGTTGTTGTAGCGTGATCGTGTGTGTTTAAATGTGTGACTTTGGGTGAGGTTGTTGTAGCGTGAACGTGTGTGTTTAGATGTGTGACTTTGAGTGAGGTTGTTGTAGCGTGAACGTGTGTGTTTAGATGTGTGACTTTGGGTGAGGTTGTTGTAGCGTGAACGTGTGTGTTTAGATGTGTGACTTTGAGTGAGGCTGTTGTAGCGTGATCGTGTGTGTTTAGATGTGTGACTTTGGGTGAGGTTGTTGTAGCGTGAACGTGTGTGTTTAGATGTGTGACTTTGGGTGAGGTTGTTGTAGCGTGAACGTGTGTGTTTAGATGTGTGACTTTGGGTGAGGTTGTTGTAGCGTGAACGTGTGTGTTTAGATGTGTGACTTTGGGCGAGGTTGTTGTAGCGTGAACGTGTGTGTTTAGATGTGTTACTTTGGGCGAGGTTATTGTAGCGTGAACGTGTGTGTTTAGATGTGTGACTTTGGGTGAGGTTGTTGTAGCGTGAACGTGTGTGTTTAGATGTGTGACTTTGGGTGAGGCTGTTGTAGCGTGAACGTGTGTGTTTAGATGTGTGACTTTGGGTGAGGTTGTTGTAGCGTGAACGTGTGTGTTTAGATGTGTGACTTTGGATGAGGTTGTTGTAGCGTGAACGTGTGTGTTTAGATGTGTGACTTTGGATGAGGTTGTTGTAGCGTGAACGTGTGTGTTTAGATGTGTGACTTTGGGTGAAGTTGTTGTAGCATGAACGCGTGTGTTTGGATGTGTGATTTTGGGTGAGGTTGGTGTTCGGGTGAGGTTGTTGTAGCGTGAACGTGTGTGTTAAGATGTGTGACTTTGGGTGAGGTTGTTGTAGCGTGAACGTGTGTGTTTAGATGTGTGACTTTGGGTGAGGTTGGTGTTTCGGGGAAGTTGCTTTTAGGTGTGGATGGGTGAATGGATTTGGGTGAGGTGTGGATTGGTGTGTGGATTTTGGTGAGGTTGGTGTTTGGGTGAGGTGTGGATTGATGTGTGGAGTTTTGTGAGGTTGGTGTTTGGGTGAGGTGGGTATTTATGTGTGGATGTTTGTGAGGTTGGTGTTTGGGTGAGGTGTGTATTTACATTGTATGTGTGGATTTTGGTGAGGTTGGTATTTGGGTGAGGGTGGGTATTAATATGTGGATTTTGGTGAGGTTGGTGTTTGGGTGAGGTGTGGATTGGTGTGTGGATTTAGGTGAGGTTTTGTTTGGGTGAGGGTGTTTATCTGGCTGTGGATGTGGGTGAGGGTTTGGATGTAAGTGTGCGTTTCGTAGGTGTGGTGAGGTTTGTTTTGATGTAGGTTGGGGTGTAGTTGTGTTCTTCAGTGGAACGAAGCAGGTGTGGATTTGGCACCCCACCGACGTTTGCTCAATCTCCTGAACGCCAGTCACCCGAGCGCCAATCTCCTCATACTTCACCCACAGCTATCGGCGAGAAACTATCCCTTCAGTGATGAACTTTCAAATGACAATGAATAACGGAAGTACTGACTTCAAAGCGGCGTTTAACCACGCCCCCCAGCACCAATATCCCTATTACGTATTTCTTGACTTACATTTAACTTAACATTATCCCGCACGGTGACATCGGATACAATTTTTCAATAGAACCCCTCATTTTTCAATCCAGGGTATAAGAGTCATTATTGTTTAAGTTTGCAAGAAGGCAGTGGAGCGGATCCTGTGTTCTGGGGCTTGCGTTTGTCTTCCTATTCCAGCGGTGCAGTCTCGGGTTGCTTTTACAATGGGACAGTACTTAGGAAAGCCGTGAGACGCTTTAGTGAACAGATTGTACTTTCTGATAAGCTTCAACAGTAATGTGATAGATTAAGGGGCCTTGGATGATGTATAGTGTAGATGTTAAACGGTTAATTAGAACGTGTAGGAATGTACGGCTATATTGTTGGTAGGGCTTGTGTGAGACTTCTACATTATAGACATCAGCAATAACTAACAGTGGATGCGGGTAAGCCAGCATATAAGGCACCGCCGCTATGTAGAGTTGCGGCCCTTAGAGGTGCCAGGATCGTGGATTTGAATTCCAGATTCACACTGATTATGATTTGGTTCCTCAGCACCATAGTCAAAACAGTAAGTAGACAGACAGTAGTATAAATATATATATATAAAATCCAAACTCACTCATTAAAAGACGAGGTGGGTGAGTGAGGAATTAACTCCAAGGATGTAGAGTGGGTTGGGTTTACGCCGCTTCTAACATTATTTCCAGTTATATCACAGCGTGTCAGCTTAATGTGGGATGAAGTGAAGCTCGAAGTGATGCAGGTCTTAGACGTTTACCAGTTCGGTGAAACCCACGGTTTGGGGCTGACAAACCTAGAAACATAATCGGGGCGAACATGGATTCGAACCCACAATCATAGGTTTCTGGCGTGCCCAAGGGACGCAAGGGATTCTACAGAGCGAATAGTGGCGCCTTAGACGACGGGGCCACCCCGTGCCCCCCAAGGATGTAGAACATTGAACCTGGGTCTTTTGTACTTACGATTTATATCATAAGTAAGTATAAGTAAATTGAGCTTTATTTGTGTAGACGTTTCTTATATAAGAGGGACCGCCTCCGTGGTCTATAGGTAGAGCGTCCGCCCGGACAGCTGAAGGTCCAGGGTTCGATCCCCGGCCGCGTCATACCAAAAAACGTTAAAGGATGGTACTTGTTGTTACCCTGCCTAGCGCTCGGCATTAAGGGGCTTAAACCTGGTTGATGAATCGTATCCCATTTGCGTGAATCGATGCTCATAATATAAATCAATCACTGGATTGTCTGGTCCAGTAACGATTATTCACAGACCGCCGTCATGTAGCTGGAATGTTGCTGAGTGCGGCCTTTAAACAACAAACATTCAAAGAAACAAACTTATTTTGAAAACGTTGAACAAAGGATTGTCATTCGAATAACCTTTTAAAAATATATAGTGGGTGAATTGGGTTAAGAGCAGCTGTAAACACTATTCCAGTTATATCACGGCGTGTCAGCTTAATGTGGGAGGAAAGCCCGAAGTGATTCAGGTCTCAGACGTTTACCACTTCGGTGAAACCCACGATCCGTTTGTGGTGCTGACAAACCCAGAAACATTATCAGTGCGAAATGGGAATTCGAACCCACAATCAACTAGCATACTATGGCAACTGAGTCAAACGGTACCCCCAGTTATTGAGCGGGCGTATATTGGAATATTTCTTGCCGAATCTGTGTTGAGGTGGAGCAATATCCAAGATGATATATGCATGTTATGTTCCATATTCATTGTTGACGGAGATACTGGCATAGATACTTCCCAAAAGAAGTTAAAGAACACCCTTTTTCATATGACTATGAGGGTTGGTCAACAAGTTCTAAACCTGACAAACTTTCAACTTTGGTCCATAACAAAGTGAACTAGACCTGGCACCAAGCGATTTCCACCTTTTTCCTTAACTCAAAGAACACATTCGTGGAAAGCGCTATGACGACAACGAAGACCTCTTAGCTGCCGGGAATGGGTTTTTCAGGGTGGCTTTAGAAAATTTCTTCCTGACGGGAATTGAAAAGCTTCACTAACGATATGAGAAGTGTATTGAAAAGAAGGGAGAATGTGGGCGTTCTTAAACTCGTTTTTAGGATTATTTAACAAAACACATCATCCATGTGCCGTTGGTATCGCTGGGGAGGTCTTGAAGGATAATTAACGTGGTCATATTTTTGT